TTTACCTATGACTCTTGATTATAGTTTAACATTTTTCAAATTAGCGAGTTTGTGGATAAATCGTCGGTAAGATATAATACTAATATATCATGTAACAATTTTGCTGAATTATGATGTTCAAGAAATAAAATCTTTTCTCGATTTCTTAACATATTCTTTTTGACAATTTTGTTAAATTTAAAATATCATAATATCATATACATCTTAATTCAAACATTGATGCTTATAATCAATGGTCTTTTGTTTTCAAAAGACAATGTAATGTTTTTATCTAAGATAGTTTTTATCTAAGATAGTTTTTATCTAAGACTTAACAAAATAGATTTATATATTGCAGACTTTTTTATCAAATTCTTGCTACTATGGATAATGATTGGCGTGAATGCATTAATATTGATCAGTATTTGAATATGATGACAATCAAAGCGAATATTTCACACTTTATCTCTAACGCTATGTTAAGCTTTACTGCGATCGTTGGCGTACTTTATCTTTTAGGCGAATACGCAGTTCGTTTTATATTTCTAACCGAAGGTTCTAATGAAACCTTAAGACAGTTTCCTATAAGGATACAATTTCCATTTGAAGCTCAACAATCGCCGATATATGAAATTCTTGTTGTAGTATTATTTATACATGCAATGGTACACGTATGCACAGTTGCTATTATAAATGGATTGATTTTTACTTTGGTAATTTATATTTTATATGAATTTACTTATATATTTTTATTTTCTTTTTATTTTACATTTTAGTAACTGGAGTGAATTATGATACAAAGTTACATGAGAATGTCTTATGTAGTATGTGAGAATATGATGTTACGTTTTTATTGTATCTTTATATTTCAAATATATATATTTTTTTAATATAGTATAGGTATAACGATTTTTCTTATATGTAAGGACTGCGATTTTTTTACAAAAATTTAAGTATACTTTAGGTGCTACACGTAAGCGGACAAATTGATATAGTATGTCAAGAGATCAAAAATTTTTCCAATAATATCTTTCTTCATGGATCTTCAGTATCTTCATTTGGAATGCTGATCGAAAGACATAATAAAATTATTTTGTTTTCTGATAACATCGAAAAGCTTGTCTCCTTTATTGCATTGATGCAAGTTGTTTTGAATACTTTAGTTATTTGTTGTCTAGGATTTATTGTCATAATTGTAAGTATCATAATACATAAATAATGATTGATATTGTATATATTATTTATTTTTATTGTTACTGTTTATTGAACTAGTCTATCCATAATGAAAATGCTGTTGAAAATTTGGTTTTCGTGTTAGTAAAAACCGGTTTTACTTACTTTGTTATAATAATGGAACCCTTTGTCGTTTGCTTTGCCGGAGAATATCTTAGCCTTAAGGTGAGTATTTAGAAGTCATTAATTGTGATACATAATTAAACAATTTTTAACACAACATAATTGTGCTGTCTTAATAATAGAACAGTACATGATTGTTTTATAATGTATTTCCAAAAATGTTTTAATGTGTTGCAATACTAAGAAAAGACTAAGAAAATATAATTTATACATAAAGATATTTCTTATTTTGCAGAGATACTTATTTATAAATATTTTGTAGTATCTTTAGTATAATATTAATATATCTTTACTAAAAATCTATCTTTAATAAAAAGTTACTAAAATTTTAATATTCTTTTATTTATCAATAAAACATACTCTTTGTTTATTGAGGAACTAAAAGACTTTATATTTTGTAAATAAATGTAGCAAAATATTGCAAAAGAAATTTTAATATTGTTATGATAGTATTCTTATATTGTTACGGTGATGATATTAGAAAATTCTTTTTCTATCGAATAAGTTAAGTAAATAAAATGGAGAAAATGTATTTAATATTAACATTCTATTTATATTATTTTTTAGGGCAAGTTAATTGCAAATGTAACATATGAAACTCTTTGGTATGATATGCCAACAAATTCGGGTAAAATTATAATGTTTATGATAATGAGATCTCAGAAGCGACTGACAATCACGGCAGGGAAAATGATGGATATGTCATTTGAAACTTTTACAAGCGTAATCTTTTAAATCTTTTGGACATTTATCATATTAAAAAATGATTTTATTTTGTTTATCGTTAATTTCTGAAATTTTTTCTTTATACATAGACATACCTACTTAAAAACTTAAATTTAATTTCTTAATTTTTATGTTTTTTTAGATTATGAAGGCGTCAGCGTCTTATGTATCCGTTTTAAATGCTATGTACTGATACCAAGAACGCGTTATCTTCTGAAATGATGACCTAATTAATATAAAATGATATTAAATTAATTGTTAAAAATTATTAACAATTAATTAAGAATTTAATTTTTATTAACAGTCAATTAATAAATTATTTAAATTAAAGTTGCTTCTCATGTACAAACAATAACGTAACTGGAAATTATAGTTTCTCATGTACCATGTTATAATTGTTTTTATTTAAAAAGATATGTATTTGCATGTTTTTGCGCATAATCTCTTAATCAGAGTCTCGCATATTTGATATGTACAAGCATATTTCATTACGCGTATCGGTAATTAATTTTGTGTGTGTGTGTGTGCGCGCGCGTGTGTGTGTGTGTGTGTGTGTGTGTGTATGTATGTGTGTGTGTGGTTATAATGTCTACAATTCAAAACTTTTACTTTTAAAATTTCTTCCCCAAGCAAGTCTTCAATTTAATTATATGTTCCCAGAATTATTAGAGGAAATTGCACAGCCATTGTGTCCTCACTTGAAGAGTTTTATCTTTCTCCCCTTATTTTATTATTTTCAAGACCAGAGGTAGACTGGCATAAATACAATCCATTTTTGTTCATTTGGAATACCTAATGAATCACAATCATTCTATCTTTACGTTTAATGATTTTTACGATTGGTAGGAAATGTTGTAGACATTTGTTTCTTGCCGATGATACGGCGTTGCCAAAGAAACGTGTTTGCAAAAACAGGAACTATGCCTCGGAACTGTTTTTTGTCCACTTTAGCAGTATAATATCTATGTTACTATATGGTCGGAACAGACGTTATTAGATAGCTAATGAAATTATAGGATGATCATACAAATAATGAGCTCTGTCTCGTCTTATCGTCGTACTGTGCGACGTATAATAGCGATTGATCCATATTCCCACCTGAGTGGGGACGCACAGTGTGGGGATGCACTTGGAGAAATGGACGGTGCACTCTCATTTCCTTCTCAACTCGAGTACTGAACAAATGTGCTGAAAATAATTAATATTTTTTTTAAATTACTAAAATTATTGACAAATGACGATCACAAGTACCATCAGCCCAGCACTGAAATTTGGTCTTCGATTTTTCGGCTTTTGGCCAGGTGTTTCGTATTCCATCATTTATTGGTTGAGTTTTATGTTGAGCATGCTGATTATGCAGTACTTCCAATATTTGTACATATTTAATCACTTGAAAATCAGTGAATTATCAAATCTTGTTGACTGTTTGGTCGTGACTCTGGATTACAGCTTGTCATTTCTTAAATTGGCTACTCTGTGGACACATCGTCGGTAAGATAATGTAGTACACTATACTGTAGTGTAATATATTTCAACTTTGCTGAATTGCCGTGTTCAAGAAATAAGTTTGTCATTCAGTTTCCTACATTCTTGATCCTATTTTCTCTAACAGGAAGTGTCTTAATATTATCATATAAATCTTAATTTAATTGAAATGCACAACATTAATTGACTTGTCAAAGAAAATAAAAAAAATTATTATTTATATATAAAACATCTGATTGAAGTGACGTATTAAAGTAACGTATTGCAGAATCCTTCATGAAATTTTGGCGGATATGGATAATGACTGGCGCGAATGCATCAACGTTGATCAGCATTTGTATATGATGATGATCAAAGCTAATATATCGCATTTCTTCTCTAACACTTTATTGAGTTTTAATGCGATCGTTGCAGCACTTTATCTCTTAGGCGACTATATAATTCATTTCGTATTTTTAATTGAAAATTACAATGACACTATACGGCAGCTTCCTATAAAAGTGCAATTTCCTTTTGAAATTCAACAATCGCCGATATTTGAGTTTATCGCTCTAATAATATTTTTACATGCGATGTTACAAGTATGGACGATCGCTATGCTAAATGGATTGATCTTTACTTTGGTAATTCATTGTACATTTGCTATTTTCAATTTATATTAATTTTTATTCAACAATGATTTACACAAACTTGTAGGCGTAAACGCCGTTGCATGAAAATTTTGAATTAAACAACTTACAGAATTTTGTTTTATATGATATAACACGTAAAAATACATGCTGCATTTCTATATTAAAAATTTTACAGTAACTATAATTAACGTCAGTGTTCAAAATATTTTACAAGTCGATTAATATAAATTCAATATATTGTGCACTATTATTATACCTATTCTATCAATGTATTACATTTTTAGTCTTTAATAATGAAAATTTTTTTATATGCAATAATTGTAATTTTTGCGAAAATTTAAGTACATTCTAGGTGTTACACGCAAGCGGACAAATTGATATAATATGCCAAGAGTTTAAAAATATTTCCAAGAATATTCTTCTTCATGGATCATCTTCCATGTCATCATTGGGAATGTTGGTCGAGAGGCATAACAGAGTCATTTCATTTTCCGAAAGCATCGAAGACCTCTTCTCTTTTATCGCATTGATGCAAGTTGTTTGGAATACTTTAGTTATTTGCTGTCTAGGATTTGTCATTGTGATTGTAAGTATGTAATAAATGTTTTCATATGTCAGTAATTGTTATATGTTTTATTTATTTTTATTTATTTGTTATTCATTGAACTAGTCTATCCATAATGAAACTGGTGTCTTCGTGATAATAAAAACCTTTTTTGCTTACCTTGCCATAACGACGGAAGCCTTCATTATTTGTTTTGCTGGAGAATATCTTAGCCACAAGGTATAAACACAAGTGGTTAATCGTAAATATACAATTTTTTAATAGAATATAATTATATAATATAATGAGACATAACATTGTCTAATACACATATTGCAATATCTTACAGTACATAAAATATTGTTTAAGATAAACAATTTTGCAAAGAAAAGTATTTTTTATTTTAGAAAGAAAGCTTTATTTTACAAACATATAATATCTTTAATAACATCATATCTCTGTTATCATAAAAGGTATCTAAAATTATAAAATATTTATCAATTTATAATTTATTATGAGAATTTTTCTGTTCTGAAAATAAAATGAACATAGAATCAGTAATTTGTCATATTGTGGTTACAATATTTTCAACAATAAAAAAATTTTTTTTTCAAGCAAGTTTAACAGATGAAAATGATTATAAAAGAGCTGCATTTGCATTATTTTTAGGGCAAATTAATTGCCAGTGCAACATACGGAACGTTATGGTATGACATGCCGTCAAATCAGAGTAAAATTATACTATTCATAATAATGAGATCACAAAAACGACTTGCGATCACAGCTGGAAAGATGATGGATATGTCATTTGAAACTTTTACTAGTGTAATTATTTAAATTGTTTGGACATCTAATTATTAATTTTATTTTTCTTATTAATTTTGAAATCTGTTGCGATATATTCTTTATACATTATAATTTGTAAATTTAATTTAATTTCCTAATGTAAATATTTTAGATTATGAAGGCGTCAGCATCGTATGTCTCCGTTTTAATTGCTATGTATTAACATCAACAAAAATGCGCGTTTTATTTCTTGAAATTATAACGTAGTTATAATATGTAAAACAAATTAAAACAAGTTAAATACATTTGTAATAAATTAGAACTTAAATTGTTATAGTAAATTAATGACTCTTATTTATTAACTATTAATAAATTACCTAAATTTAAATTGCACTTAACAAAAATTATTACTGTAAATATAAATAATTTTTTGTGTTTTGTATTTATAATATATGTTTATTTCTTCAAAAGAAATAAGCTTGCAGTATTCAGGCTTTATTGATCGTTTGGGTCATTGACTTTTTTTATAGAATTGCGTATAAGATTTGTATTTTGTATATTTTGTTGGATAATTTGTAATCAGATGTTTATAAGATTTCTAATTGCAATTTTTACTTTTTAAAATTAGTCGTATACGGAAATATTGCACATTAACTTTCCAAATTATTAAAGTAAATTAGTAGTAACTTCTCTAGTTAGAAACTGTTATTTTGCTGTTTTTCACTCATCAATTTTTTTTATAGATCAGAAGTTCAATTATACGAACATAATTTAGTTCTGTTTTCTTAGAGTATGTAATCATGATTGTGTATTTAATGATTTTCGTGAATGGTAGAAAATATGGTAGACATCTGAACATTTATTTCTTGTCTATGATGTTGCGTTTCACAAAAAAAATTATAGAAAAAAGTAACTACCGTGTAGTGAGCGATTCTTTTTTTTTTTGCGTCATCTTAGCCGTACAATATCTTTGTTACTTCACGATTCAAGTACACGTCATGTTGATGCAGGCTGTTTATGAAATTATGGTATGTTAAAATTATGAGCTCTCTGTCTCGTCTTAACGTCGTGCTGTGCGTACGTATAATAGCGATTGATCC